GAAATAGTTTGCCTTTAACTCGAATTATTGATTCGAATAATAATAATAATAAAAATTGATTCGTTTGATTCGTTCGATTCGAATAATTTGATTGATTTGAATCATTCGATTTCATTCATTTATTTGGATATTAATATGCAATTAGATATAACAAATTCTATTATCAATGGAATATAGAGATTACAAGCTATTTGTAATAAGTAATTAATATTGCCATCATCATCACTACTATTATTAATAATACCACTACTACCATTAATATTAATACTATTATTATTATTATTAATATTATTACTATTATTAATATTATTATTAATATCAATATTATTATTATAATTATTATTATTATTAATACTATTATTAATAATATTATTAATATTATTAATACTATTATTATTATTACTATTATTAATATTATTATTACTACAAATACTATTGCTATTTAACTTATCATAATCAAATGTTTCATTATTATTAATACTATTATTATCATTACTATTATTATTATCATTGCTGTGATTATTACTACTACTGCTACTAATACAATTATTAATGTTGCTACTACCACTACTACTAATACTATTAATATTACTACTGTTATTTAACCCATTGTTAATATTGTTATGCAATGACCCACCAGACCAAGAATTTGCTTTGCTACGAGTGTTGGAACTAATTAATTGCTTATTTTGTGGATTAGTTTTCTTTTTCTTTTTTGGCGGCATTACGAATGAATGAATATTTTTTATTATAGAATTTGATCGGCTCAAGCCGACTAAGCCGTTTAAAAATTTCTTAGCCGGCTAACATCACTAGTAATAAGGTATTGATATAATTATGTTTATCATACTGTCATGTAAAAGTTGAAAAAAAAATTTACATTTCGAACCTTTTTTTGCTTTTTGATCAAATCTAATAGTTCATTCAGATTTGGAAATTTATGGAACATTGTTAAAAAAAACGTCGAGAAAAGGATGTCACGAAATTGCAAAATTTATGGTTCACATAGCGAGTGTTTGGTAAATTATATGCGATGTCGATGTGAGCTTATAATACAAAAATAATGGAAAACGTATTAAAAAAAACCACAGTTTTTAAACTTTTAAAGAAATGTCCTTATTCCTTGTATCATTTGACATGGATATTTACATTTTTCTTCATATATAAGTTTGGAATTATATTTGCACTTGGTCTCCAAACATCTTTAGAAGAGGGTGCTACTTTCCTCCAATGAAAAAAAAACACATTTGCAATTGAGAATTTTTGTGTAAAAAGTCCTCGCAATTGCCTTGGCATTATCATCATGGATAAAATTTTATTATTATGCACTCGCTGGTCATGTTAGGGATCGTATTTAATTTAACATTTTTTTATTTAGTCAAAATCAATCTTACAACAAGGGTCATTTCTTTCTAAGAATAAAGGCTCGTTAATAGGTTTAGGTGCTAAACATGTGCGTTTAGGATTTATCTGAATACCAGCATCGCTGAAAAGTCTCTCAGCAGGCATTGTTATTGACAAATATTTTTGAGATAATTGTTTGGTTTTTTTTTTGAAAAAAAAAATATTATACATATATATTATAGTGCATTGATTCATTTTAATTGAAATAATACCGGATTTTGGATTTTTTATTACTATTACGTATTTCCTAATAATATTCAAGGTTTTCTTCTCTTGTCATTGGATGTATTACCAGTATTAAAACATTCATTATCAACAGTCTCATCAAATGATTCATAAAATCCACTTGTTTACATTCATTATTACAATGTTGATTAGGAGATATAGGCTAATGAAAGAATGTAATATTATTTATTATTATATGTGGGAATTACATGAATGCCAAAAAATGGAAAGAAGAAAACGAAAACATACAAAGCCTGTTTTTTGACGATACTTTTCTTTTATCCAGTTTCAGGTAATGAATCGGTGTACTCTATAAATTCTTTATTTTTAAAATTTTGATACATATTGCTTATGAATTTTATGATTAGAGGAAATGCGAGTGAAGGCGAACGAATATTATTGTACAATTTGATCATGTGATATTGTCACACAGCTATGGAAACCATTCATTAAAAAAAAAATTTATTGCGGGGTAAGAAAAATTGTCGATCATCTATAGAATAAAACTAAGTTTTTTTTTTTGCATGGTCATTGAGTTTATACATTTTAAAGTTTAGCCAAAATTTTTGATGTCTTTAAATGATCGGCACCATACTTGACAAGATTATCTTTATTGTATGCTAAAATTCCAATCAAACTTCTAGATGGAAATTTGGAATAGTCGGACGTACAACAAACCAGTTATTGACTAAAAATATGAAAATTGTAACACAAAATTTGATGGTTAACCAGTTTAAAATTAACCGGCTAATCAAAAATATTTTAACCGGTTAATATTGTTTGTGGTTAAAAATCATGATATTAATATTGTTTATCGGGTGATTTTTGATAAATATTAATTTCTAATACTCCCCTGCCAATTTTCTTCTTAATTCAGCAAACTCTTCTTTTGTAGTCAAAAAAATGATCAAATCACAATTACACAACCTACTTTCAAAAAAGAGAATTATCTTCTCACATTTAGCAAAAGTATCACAAACAAAACTAATAAAGAGACATTATTCTCAAGTTTCAGTATTTGTAGAAGCCTATAATGTTTTACATCTTCTCAACCACCTATCAAGTTTATAAGGATAATAAAATAATATTGGAAAAAAATTTTAATGCTGTTTTTGAATAACTAACTATAGAGCCTTTATAAACACGAGAGAGGATTCATTAGAAGCTAATGACATGGTTTTAGATTAAACCACGATTTGTTACACGGATCAGAATTTCTATTGCGACTTGTAAATAATAATGATGACGAAGTTATCCCGAATTAATTATATAAAAAAAGGATAACCAAAAAAATTTTCTTATACAGTAAATACAAAAAAAAAAACTTTCAACGGAAAATTGGTTAAAATATTTGCCTTAGTTATCAATAATGATTACTAACTAGACTCGTAATTTGGGGTTCTCAACATTTATATTACTTTTCTTTCTTTAAAAAATAAAACCACCATTAGCTTATTTTAAAAAATTCAACGGGTGTGTGATTGTTAAAAAATTTCACGCGATCGAATTAACTGTTTTGGACTTGTAGAGAAAAGTTCTTCGCGGTAAGGAAACGAGTCAGTTATTAATACGTTATTGATGAAAATGGACTTTTAAGGAAAGTTCTTTGTAGTAAGGGAACAAATTAGCTATCACCACGTTATTGATGAAGATGGACTTGCAGGGAAAAGTTCTTCGCAATAAGGGAACGAATCAGTTATTACTACATTATTGATGAAAGTGGCTTGCGAGGAAAAGTTCTTCGTAATAAGAGATAGAATTAGCTATTACCATGTTATTGATGAAGATGGGCTTATATGGAAAAAGTTCTTCGCGATAAGAGAACGAATTAGCCGTTATTACGTTATTGGACTTGTAAGAAAAAAGATCCTATTGGTGCAGTCGGTATTGTCTAAGGCTAAATGTAGCTGGAGATCTCATGTGAATAATTTCGATAACTCGCAATAGAACATGAATAAAAAAAATTGCCTTTTGAGAACTAAAGCGATTTTTGTCGTTCAATTTACGCAAATAATTAATGTTTGCTTTAATTGATCAATTATACAGAAAATAAAAATACACCAAGAGTGAAACGCATGTGAGTTTGATAAACAATATTTATAAGCAATATTTGTATCAATAATATAGTAGTAGTATTTGTGTTGAACTGGGACCTCTTAAGTTACAGGAAAGGTTAATTGAAATCGGTTCATATGTAGTAATTAAAAATACTAAATAAACAATAAAAAAACAGCCAATGTCAAATTAGTCACGAGCCCCCACGCATTTAAATCGTATTGTAACGAGATTTTTATCATACAAAAATTTTACAAAAGTGGTAATAGCATAATAGTAAATGACACAATAATAATACATTATATTATTTTTTGCATGCACATTTAATCTTTAACTATTTCCCCGATTCGATGAAATAAGTTTTGTTTACGCCTAGTTGCCTTTTGAATGGGAGAATTATTAATTTGTTTTATCACAAAATTAATAAAATTAATAATTCAAAAAAAAAAGAATTCCATTTATGGTACTCGCGTGACGATGATTTTCAAAACTTAAAATTTTTTATTTATAATAAATAATTAATACTTTTAATAATCTTATTTTTTATTTAAATATACATATTATTATTCTATTGTAAAAATCTATATAATCTATATTATTATTAAAAATTACAATTAAATTAAAACTTAATATATCTAGATATAATTCTTATTATCATTACTATTGGTTATATTCATAAAATAGTTCGAAAAAAACTGAACTCTAATCAACGAAATAACGATAACAAATATATAAAATACTAAATATTTGTATATAATTTGTATGATGATGATGATATTATTTATTTACAAAAATTGAAATGAAATGAAATTCGAAAAAAAGTTTGTTTTTGCCATTTTGCCACTGAATTTTTTTGCCAAATATTTACAGAAAAAAAAAAAAAATTGCGATTGATAAAAATAAATATAATAATTTGATAATAATTAATAATGATGCTATATTATGAAGTAATAAAAAAAATGAGAAAAATAATGATGAAAAAAAAAAAATCTAATTTTTGTCTAAATAAAATTAGGCTATACATATATGCCTATTTTAAGTAATCTATAAAAAATTATTTTTAATTGCCGTCATTTCCTTTTTAGTAATATTATTTTTTCTAGAATAATATTTTGGAATTCAAGCCTAATAATAATAATAATGAATTGTTCTTTAAATAATATTATATTAAATAGTTGGTTATATATATTAAAAAGTGTTATATATATTAAAAAGTGTTATTTATTTCTACAATTATAATTATAATTTTACAAGTATTATTGATTATTTCCAAATAGATCAAAAAAGTAAAAATAAATATAATTTAAAGGATTTTTCTAGTAAAGTAATCTTCCTTTGATTGTTTCATATTGTGTCATTGTATTATTAAATCTGTTGTTGTTGTTGTTGTTGTTATTTTGATATTGTTGATATGATGATTTTCTTATTACAACTATAACATCGGATATTACACCGTCAATATCAAATGTAAAACTAAAACTATTGTTATTAGATGATTGCTGACTTGCCTTTAAGATACTTAAAAAGTTTTCCCTTAACCAAGGTAAATTTTTCTTGAATTTACGAATATAAGAGTATATTTTATTTAAAAATGCATCTGATGGAGTCTCTTCATTACAATTATTGTTGTTAATGTTGTTATTAGCAAGCTCGGGTGAAGAAGGAGAGGAAACATTAAATTCGGGTTGATTTGATATTATTTCAAATTTTTGAACTGATAGATCATTAGTGAAAATATGTCTAATTTCATATCTTTCCTCGTCGTCATTATTACGAATTTGATTAATGAATGCGTCTCTAATCCAATTTTGTAACTCATCCAAGCTGCTAAATCCAATTGTTGGTATTTTAGGGTATATCGAATTGTCGGTTAATGATTGTAAAAGTGGAGCCATTGATTCACCTAATAATTGTTTGGAAACGTCCAAATTATAATTAAACGTTACTGTGGATTCCATAACTGTTGAAGGAATTTCATAAGTTCCATCGTTTGTGCTTGGAGAAACTATAATTTACGAAAAAACAAAATTAATTATTATTATTATTATTATTATTATTAAATATATAAATGTATCTAAAAAAATAAAAAAATAAAAAAATAAAAAACTAACCAGGAGATGCAATTAGATTGGGAGTATAATAATTGGATTGATATGAAGGGATGTTATTGTCACAGTCGTTGCCATAATCAGGAGTAACATGAATTTCAGGGGCAACCATAGAAGTATTGATTTGAAGAGGTAATTGTAATAATTGAGGTTGTTGGTGTAATGTTTGTGGTGGTGAATCAAAGCAACAATTATCATCATCACCAATTGGAGAATGGATTTGATTATCAAGTGTTGTAGTTGTTGTAGTAGATGGAGAAAGAGAAAGAGGAGAATTCTTCTCCAACAATTGATTGTAAATTGAACGAGAGTTGTTGCTGTTGTTATTGTTATTATAGTCTACTAAATTATCGTCATTTTGTTTTTGAGAATTGAATCCAAGTGCATATGGTGAACATATTGGTTCAGAGAATTCAACGTACTAAATAAATAATATTATATAGAGAAAATCAATAAACGAAAATGAAAAAATTAATCGCACGAAACAAAAACATGTTCAAGAACGTGCATTACCTTTGTGGGATTAGAATAGTATGGATGAAATTTTTCATGAATTCTTTGATGAGGTTGTTCCAATCGTGATTTATTATCTAAAAAGCGATCGTTACTATTGATATTATTGTTATTAACGTTGCCGTTACAATTGACGCTTGTATTAATAAATTTATTCTCATCATAAATCAAGGGTTGAGAAGGGGAATAAGAAGTGTATTGACAGTTATGCTTTGATTTGGTACAAGCTGTACAAGATGGTGTCAATCTATCACACTTGACCTTTCTGCGTTTGCAGGACACGCAAGATCGATTTGGATAACCCAAAGTTGCCGCCATTGGAGACGCTGGTGGAGTAGTTAAAAGCAAATGGGAAGGGGGAGGAGGAGCTAAAAAGGATTGATTGGGCTGATGTTGCAATTGTTGTCGCAATTGTAGCTGACATTGTTGTTGTTGAAATAATTGGTTTAGTGCAATATTTTGTTGAGTAAGGTAATGCATTTTAATTTTTTTTCCAAAAAATTTTTATTGTTTTTTTTTTTTTTGTTTTCAAAAAAAAATTTTTTTTTTTTAGAATGAAAATTAATTTGATTATTTATATGTAATTTTTAAAATAATATTACATAAATAAGTTTGTTTGGTTGCACAATATTTTTGTACATAAACATTATGTATAATAATAAATAATATTTTTTATAATATTTATTTTATTTTATTTTTTTTACATGACAATATAAAAATTATTATCTTATATAAATGACCAAATTCGGTTATTTATAACAGCATGCGTAAAAATTATTTGCAGCAGACAGGTTTTTGTTGACTTTAGGATATTCCATGTGGAGAAGAAATAAATTTTATTTGCTTATCGATTTACTTTATAACATTATATTCATTATTTTTTATTTATCTAACAGTGATCAGTTTTAATATTAAAAATGAATGAAGGGGCGATGACTAATGCGACAAACAAACAAAATCATCCGACAGTGAGTAATACTCACTGTAGTGTAGATGTATGCTACATTCATACACACCCACACACTGATAGGTTTTAGCACGGAATATACGATGACGAGAAATGAAAGTAAAATTTATAATTATACGCTTTACTATTGGATTATTTATTAATTATTATATATATGTGTGTGTGTGATGTATATATGTATGTATGTATGTATGTATGTATGTGTATATATATACACACACAACACAAAATATCAAGTATAAATAAAGGGTCCTGTGAGATTTTGTTGACATTACCACTATTAATAGTTAGTTGTATGTATGTAATCTTTAAAAAATCCAATCTAATCTAATCTGATTGACCAAAAACCTATCTTATGATTTCCTTGGACAACCGACCATCAATCAAATTGGTCACGTTCCGATCTTTGCTTTCAATATTTATATTTAATTAATTAGTCAATCAATAAATTTTTAAAACAATTGGTGCATTGATGCATTTTGAGCGAATAGTTGATTTATAACAAACAAACAAACAAACAAAAAATTATTATTAAAGAGAGCACTTTTCTTCCATCGGCGATGATTCAATTATCCATCCTATGACTTATTCATTTACATTTCATTATTTTCAAAAATGGTTTTTACCATCAAGGTAATTTTATTATTATGAGATACGTATTAATATTCATTATCTTCAATTTAAAATTCCAAAAATGGTAAATATCAATAAACGAGTAAATTTTAATAAAGCAAGAAACAAAACTAGTTTTCTTTTCAATTCCTTTATTGTTAGCTTTACGGTATACAATATTTATTCTTTACAATATTTTCTGAAATTCGATAGTTAATTAATCATATTATTAGAATATAATACACGTTCGTAATTAAAAAACCAGCATCAAATAATAATTCTAATAACAGAAGCATAAAAACAAGGAACACCAATTTCAATTTAGTATATTGTACGACTATTAATTATGTGAAAGATATTATTATCTTATCTAATTTTACTTGTCATTATTATTTACATAGCGTATCGGAAAATTCTAAATAGGCGAATGGACAGGTTTCTTAATTTTTTTTTATCTATGATGATTGTTTATTTATTTGTTTTTTTTGATAAGATAAAATTAATTAAAATCAAATCAAATTTAGGCATGATCTAAATGATGTGAATGATGTAAATTACAATTCATTCATTTCATTTATCATTATTATTACAAATTTACATTTTAAACTTTTGTACTACCTGATAAGATAATCGAACATCTATATTCAAAAGATTAAACATTTTTGGAGTTTCATTATGTCATATGTATATTTGTACATTTCGAATAGAATTTAATAAACCAGTCAATTTAAAAATTTCCAAATTTAAATATGCACATCTTTTAAACCTTAATTTATATAACATTTTAATACAACAAATGCAATTGTAATTTTTCAAGTAAAAATGATTATCCTATAACCGTACTATACAACTTATCAATCTATTTAAAAACCAGACCAAGTGATATTACTGTTTACGGGGTTTGATTTTTTATTTTTTTTACATTATTAGGAGAAATTAAAGGAAAATCACATCATTAACATTATAAATATTATAATAGTAAAAACGATGCTGTGTATGTTAATACCAATGTAAGACAACAAACACAAATCGATCTATGATCGACGCGATGATCTTCTTCTTTAAGAATATATATAAAACGAAAAGGTGGTGTGGGTGGGTGATGATGGATAATGGATGATGATGGATAATGGATGATGATGACGAGTTGATTATGAATGAAATAATAGCCTCAATCTTCTATTTTTTTATTATTATTATATTTTAATTTAATTTAATTTATTTTTTCACCGCCAACTATTAAATTATCTAACCGCATGTGTATGCATACTAATCTTCCACGTACACGCATCGGTTATTATTTGCCGGAGAATTGTTTTTAAAAAAAGTCTATTCGTCAACGTAATTAATAATATTAAAACTCATACATATTGTTTTAATATTGTTAATTATTTTGGTGTTATCTATTATCTATTATATATATATATATATATTATAATAAATTTATGTATGTAGTATAAATTTTGATTTTGACGTGATGGATAACCAAAAAATAAATCATAAATTCAAAATTTTTGATATTTAAATAAAATTTCTTTATATGGTAAACAGATGGTTTTCTATAGCATTATCTATAACGATGGTAATTATTATTACAAATTAATTTAATTAAATCCTATTTTTGGCAAAAGGACTTATCTCCAATGTGGTTAAGAAAAAACTGTCCAGATAGAATTGGTGCATGCAAGCTAAAGATTTTAATTTGTTCCCTGCATATTTTTTAACAAAAAGGAAAATGATGAAAGAATAAAAAACAAACATGCAAATTGATCCAATAGCTACCTTCTCATTATTTATTATTCATTATATTGTTTATTCATATTCGTTATCATCTATTATTGTTGTTGTTGTTGTTGCTGCTGCTGCTGCTGCTGCTGCTGCTGTTGTTGTTGTTGTTGTTATAATTGATAAGTATCTTCGTAATAATTTCTTACATGTTGAAATAAATTGACACGGACACAATCCCTATTGATATGCACCATATGCAGATAGACTAGACGAAAATCAAAAAACAATTAATTAATCATTTTAATTAATTATATTGTTTTCTAACTAAAATGGGATTGTGGCGGTTTTTGTTTTAAATTCAATTATGAAACAAATCTCACGGGGATATTCGAATCAAAATTAAAAGTTTCATTAATTAATTTAAAGCTCGTGAATTAATAATTGGCTTTAATTTTGCGATTTTATTTTTGTATATAAAAATTAAGGCATGATCGTCATATGTTACCCATTACAATTACAATTAAGTAAATCTTCATTTACTGAAAAGCGCGTAAAATTATTAATTTTGTAGAAAGCAAATAATATGACAGTTCATTTTGCAGAGAATAAAACAAACATGCTAGTCATTATGTAATTCATATTATAATGCGATTATAAACAGTGTGTCCCACATATTATTCCGGATATAGATCTCGATTGCATAATAAATTTTAAATTCATACATTTAAAATTATTAATTTTTCCAATTATTGATTTCGATTGATGTTTCAGATAAATTTACAAACGACGCCATATTCCTCTAAAAAAAGAATTTGTAATTAATGTTCCTTTGGAAATTGCCTTTTGGCGATTGTTTCCATATAAAGAAGAATTTTAATTTTAAATTGGTCATTTCATTCATTTATTTTTTAAATATTTACCTCAAAACAATCAATCACAAGTTGTCAAACCTGAAATTCCCAATCAAATAAAAGAAATGAGGGTACAAATTATCTCACATGTCCTCACACATTGAATTTTTAATTCTATTGCCTTTTTCATATTTGTAATATTTGTAACACATGTAACATTAATTGATTGGTTGATTCTGTAAATAGGTAAATTTTTGATGAGTTTGGAAACATTAAACATTTGCCAGTGTGATTGTTATAATCCTTTGAATATGATGAGTTTAGAACAATTTGATTAATTTGGTATCAAAAATTTATTAATTAGAAAAATTATGGAAATTTATATAATATTGCTCGCCACCTCTCTATATCTCTTTATCCTTTTCTCTCTCTCTCTCTCTCTCTCTCTCTCTCTCTTTACTCATTCATCATTTTAGTTAGTCTCTTTAGGGGGAAAAAAAAATGATTGAAATTAAAAGAATCATTTTTAATTTTTCATCAAAATTTAATAAAAAAATCTTATTTAAAAATAAATTAACATCAAAAAATTCGTCGAATTTAAAAGTCAAATTCGTTATATATGATTATAATAATCCCGGTAATAACCACAACGTCATTGAATCATTAAAACCGATTTCTTTAAAAATTTTTAAAAAAAGTCTGAAAAAACATCTTTGTGATAACCACGGCAATGTTGTGATTCTTTGGCATATGAAAAAACTTGGTAATATTAAACTTGGTGATAAGGACAATGATAAGGTAATATTAAAATATTTATTGAAACAAGATTTGCTAAGGATCATTAATGGCGAGTTGATCTGGAACGTCTACTTGTCTTATTCTTGTGACGAAATCGAATTAACAATCATCGATAAGGATTTATTTCATGAATACATTCATACGTTTCGCAATGGGCGGAATTCATAATTTTAGCAATTTTTTGTTTGCTTATTTGTTTGTTTGATCTGCTTGATCGATTTAGTTTGATTTACATAGTTTTTGGTTTTAACTTTGTTTGTAGCCTATATTGTAGTTATTTTTCTAATTGTTTATAAATATATATATATATAAAACATAAATACATTACATAAATACATAAACTCACATAAACATATAAATAAACATATTCCTGTATATAGATGGATGCATAAGGGTCTTTACTACACGTAAAAATGGTATCATTTTCTACCAATCACACCGCCAGTATTAGTATCACCACAATTAAGGTGTGCGGGCGCAAAAAAAACTTTAAAAAAATGGATTATGTAAACAATACGAAATTT